AACTATGACTCAAATTGGATTTTTAAAATTTAATATTTTGATGTGCCATTGATGTTTCTAATTTGATTTGGATTGAAAAAAGACCTTAAACAAGATTTTCCTTTTGATTCACATAAGCTTTGTATACTAGATATTTAAGGTCGTTAAAACCCGTTTCTTTAGTCTTGGTTAATGTATTCATGTGTACACAACAAAGCCTTAGACGAGAGTTTATTTCTAATATACATAAGTTTTGTTTAATTCATGTCTTGTGTTTCAAGGTTACACTTTTTTTTGTACGTTGTAGCAAAACTATCATAATCTGCGGGCTGGTCCATTAGCCCGTTTACCCAAATAATACGGATCTGGACATATATTTCGAATCCGCAACCCGCGACGGGCCAGCCTATATGAATTAAAAAAAAATTGTGTCCATTACGGGTTACACTACTTGAACGCGAGCTGCCCTGACAACTATAATTGTGTTACGATCACGGACAATCTTAAGGTACTTAATATAATATATTAGGCTTTATAAATTTAGTATAACGTTTAATAATGTCCCATCGACCACTATATAAACGAACAAGCCAAGATACACATTTTCATCACAACTCTCACACAAAGATCAAACAAGATCATACTAACAAAAATGGCAGCACGAGCAACAATAATATTCCATGCTCTCTTCCTAACTTCACTCCAACTTCTCCTAACACGCCACGTCTCATTTTGCCGCCGGAGGAAAATGGGATCTCCTCCTCCCCAACGTCGGAATCGCCGCCATGCACATGCAGCTCCTCCGTAACGACCGTGTCGTAATGTTCGACCGAACCAACTTCGGTCCATCCAACATCTCTCTCCCTAACGGTAAATGCCGTGACAGCCCAAACGACATCGTCTAAAAACCCGACTGCACAGCTCACTCAATCGAATACGACGTCGCATCAAACACCATCCGTCCATTAACCGTACGATCAAACACATGGTGCTCCTCCGGTTCGGTTAGACCGGACGGTGTTCTCGTTCAAACCGGTGGTGACCGAGACGGTGAACTAAAAAGCAAGAACATTCTCTCCTTGTAATAACAACCGATGCGATTGGATCGAAGTTAGCAACGGTTTAGCCACGAGAAGATGGTACGCTTCGAACCATATACTTCCCGACGGTAAACAAATCATCGTCGGAGGTCAAGGAAAATTCAACTACGAGTTTTACCCCAAAACGACATCTACTAACGTTATCGCGTTGCCGTTTTTGGCCGAGACTAGTGATAGAGGAGAAGAAAATAATCTTTATCCTTACGTATTTCTAAATACCGATGGTAATTTATTTATATTCGCTAATAACCGTGCGATATTACTCGACTACGTTAAAAACACGGTGGTTAAAACTTTTCCGGCGATTCCCGGCGGTGATCCGAGGAGCTATCCGAGCACTGGCTCAGCCGTGTTATTACCGTTGAAGTTGAAGCGGTTAATATCGAAGCTGGGGTTCTGGTGTGTGGAGGTGCACCGAAAGGATCGTACATCCTCGTTTTTAGAAGGAAAACTTTCGTGAAAGCGCTTGACACGTGTGCGAGGATTAAGATTAACGACGAGAATCCTACATGGACGGTTGAGAAGATGCCACGTGCTAGAGTTATGGGAGATATGACGCTTTTGCCTAACGGAGATGTTTTGATTATCAACGGTGGTTCTTCCGGTTCTGCTGCTTGGGAGCTTGGTCGTGAACCGGATTTAGTACCGGATCTATACCATCCCGAGAATCCGGTTAACTCGAGATTTGAATCGCTAAACCCGACTAGGATACCGAGAATGTATCACTCCACGGCGATTCTCTTCCGTGATGGGAGGGATCTCGTCGGTGGAAGCAATCCTCACGCGTTTTATAACTTCACCGGAGTGCTTTTTCCGACGGAGTTAAGCCTGGAAGCATTTTCACCGGTTTATCTAGAACCGGAGTTTGCGAATCTTCGTTCCAAGATTCTGTCTCCTAAATCACAGTCGAGGATTAAGTATAGTACGAGTTTGAAGATGCAGTTTAAGGTCACCGGAGAAGTTAAGAGTCCGGTGAAAGTGACGATGGTGTTTCCGTCGTTCACGACTCATTCATGAACCAGAGGCTTTTGGTTTTGGACAACGTTAAGTTTATGAGGAAAGGTAAAACGACGACGTATGAAGTTCAAGTGAGAACGCCTAAATCGGCGAATATTGCACCGCCTGGTTATTATATGATCTTTGTTTGTGGTGAATCAAAACATACCAAGCGAAGGTGTTTGGGTAAGGTTACAGTAACTCATAAGTATACTCAGTGGTTTTTTTAATTATTATAGTGTGTACGTTTTTTTTGTTTTGATATGAAAAAATGATAATGATGTATCTTCTCAATTATTGGAAGGCTTGTATAATTAAATATTGGGTGAATTGGTTGTTTGGAGAACCTAATTAATTGTATTAAGATTTTAAGAATGTGTGTGTTATCGATTTGATGACAATATATAAATTATTTGGATACTCTTTTTTCATGTCGGG